TGCTTCATTTCACGCATGTATCGTTACACGATTTTCACTATGTCAAATCATTATTTTTTACACGTAATACATTAGCACCGAAGAAATGTTCACAGTTAGTAATGCTGAACTTCGTAAATTTCTCACAAATTCTTAAACTTTTACTGTATCTTATTCATAAATATTGCGATAATGTTACAAACGTAACCTACAACTGCAATGTCGCGCACTAATACCAGAAACGTCGCGTTATAGTTCTTAAATATATATTTCCTCAGTTGTAGCAATTAAAACTTCAATCGGCGATATCACTACTTTACGAAACGTTTTGTGGAAATCTTTAATATTTCACTTTGACGTACAAAATTATTCCACTATTTGTTACCGGTATATTCGTTTGGCGCGGAACTGAAGATAACTGACGCTAGACATTCTGTGCATTTTTCTCGCGGGAAAATGCTGCGCGTCATTGAAATAGCCATAGGCTAAAGTATCGATGTAGAATATCAAACAACGTTTCTTATATTTATTAATATCAATGTAGCAAATACAAATACGTTTCTGTTACGAAAATGACAAATTAACAAATGCTTCATTTCCACAGCAAAAACGTTATAAATTAATAAAAATAATTATAAAATTAATAATAAAATTATAATATATAGTAATACATAATATACATATATTAGTTACAAAATTTTATAAATGAGCATTATGATCACCTTTATTGACAATACTCCTTGAGAAAATTGGTTTCTAATGTATATTTTTCCATTGCTAATAAGATGAGTTTATATTCAGTTTCAAGTGTACTTATGACAAACGTGAAATGTTATTGTTAAAATTAAGATTGATTAAATAGTACTTTTAATAAAACAGTTCACCTAACCTAAGCTGTGATGGGTGGGAGAAATAAAACAATAAAACAATACAAATTACTATCACACATTCTCCTCTCTTCTTTTTATTCTTTTAACACTCCCATAAAGTATTTTACATTCTTTAACAAATTTGGGCCATTCAGTGGTTTAGTTAGACAATCAGCATTTGTTTCTTTATTTGGCATGTAACAAATTTGCAAGTTCTTAGTTTTTACTACATCTCCTACATAACAACATTTTTCTATGTAGGAGCTTAGATTTAATTTTCTACATTTATCGCATTCAATCTATTCACATATCAAAATCTTTCTCACCTTCTTTTCCAGTAGGACTTCATATATCAGTCTATATATCAACATAACACATTTCATTGATTTCTGTTCCTTTTCCAAATTCAAGACAATACACACCCTCAAATATCTTAATATTCCCTTCAATCTATTCATGTCCATCATTTTAAGATCATGGTTAAATTATAACAAACATCCTAACTGCAAATGAGATGTCTAGCAAGACATAAGTATTCAAATACATGAATTTCCCTAACAATTCTCATAATTCTCAATATTCATTGATTTATGGTGGATTTGTTCTTCCTTTCAGCAACCCCATTGTACTGCAGTGTTCTTGCTGGACTGAAATCATGTTTTATTTTCTTTTAATTTAAACAAACCTGAAGATCTTGTCTGACAAACTCACCTCTATTGTCTAAGCATATAAGTACTTTTCAGTTTTCACAGATTAATTTTCTTCAAATGTTACCAATATTTTTATTTCCTCAGCTGACACTTTTCCTATAAGAGCAAGACCAATAATCACTCTTGAATAATCATCAATAGATAAGATGTACCTTTTACCTCTTTTTGACGTTGGCTTCAGTGGTCCAATCAAATTCATGGGTCACAGCCCCATTATAAGATTTTTGCCTTAAAGCAACATTCACACTCTATATTCAATTTATTTTTACCTTTCAGAACTATTACCAACTCTTCATTCTCCATCTCGTCAATGAACTTTATATTTGCATGTCGATGCCACACATCTTTCTCTGTTGATACATATGCTGCCTCTTTTTTGTTTCTTGATTCCATGTAATATACATTTTTTCTTCTTACTGCTTTCATTAGAACTTTTTTCCTTTCTTTATGTACCTCAGCTCCATCAATCTGAAACTTAACAGATTAGTAACAATAGTAATAATCAGTGACTTTGACCACTGATATTAATATTTATTTAGATCAGGAATACGGCATACCTTTCAATCTCACTGTATTCTCTATATCCTGTTCTCATAAGAGGACATCACCTAAATTAATTTTATTCCCTTTTGTCTGCCTAAATCATCTCCACTTTCTGAATTTTTATTTAATCATCAAATATTTCTATCCAGTATGTTATATGGTTAGCCAACCTAAAATTCAATAGTATATCATACCTTGCATATTTTTATTACTGCTTCAATTTTTTCTAACTATAAAACATAATTTTTGATATCTGATGGCTCTACGCTTTTGATATTCCATGAATCCAACTTTTTCTCCAGTTACACGTGCTTGTTTATTTCAACCGAACATTGTCTTTTTGCAATCAGGTTCTCTAATTTACTTATAACTAACTTACGACTAGTTTATAAGTAATATTTCAACTGTGGTGTGTAGCTCTTAACTTGGTATCGTTTCCCAAAAATTATATTTAGGAAAAGGATACCAATTACCAGGTCTCACCACGTGGAGGTGGCTACGCATCGAGACCCGACATGCGTCCTAGTGGCGAAGCCTGCTGGCGCTATCTGTATCAAAGATACTCTACTCTAGCTTGGAGCGAAAAAAGTTAAAGTGAAGCTACTGACACTGTACTATATTTCCTGTCTTACAAAGGGATTTCGATTCGGTATACTAAAATTTATTACTTTACTATCGCAACACTAACAGACTCTAATATTTCTAACTTCCCACAAAATTCGGGAATAAAATATGAAAAACGCGAGCAAGTAAAAAATCGCAACGCGCCCGAACGAGTTCGTGATTATTCGAAAGACCGACTAGCCTACGAGACGTACTCTCATGTACAAGACAACTTCGTGCCTCGGCACCCTCCCGATTGGACCTAGCCCACCCAGCCACCACATGACTTACTCGAGAACGAGAGCGATCGAAGGACCAACGAAACACACAAAATCAAGCCGAGGGTCCCTAGCGAGGCCCTGTAGCCGGTCACGCAGGCCCCTGCCACATGGGGAGAAATTAATCATTCCATGGGGTCTGACCGCAGGCCCATATGCAGTGTCACGGCTACAGGGCCCATACCCCGGTCGTGCACGCGCTGGTGCCCAGGACGACTAAGGCCGACAGACCCTCGAATTGACCCAGGTGAGTGCCAGTCCGCCGGCCACCCTAGAACCGATGCGCGACAAGGGTGGCAGTGGCGAGGGTGAGTGTCGGAACGAGTCGTTTGGATGACACAAAACACGGAGTTATCGAGCACACGAGAGTACGTCGCGTAGGCTAGTGGGTACTTAAGAACAATCGCGATTATCGCGAGAACAATTATGTTCCGTTTGGTAACGAGAGGGGTGAGTGGAATATAGGGAATTTGTATATTTCGCTCCAGTTAGGTAGCTTACCTCTGTACAGATAGCGCGCACATGATACTTATTCTAGGAATCTATCTTATGACTACTTAAAAATAAAGACACGCATCCCGTGTCGTCCCGTGTGTCCGAAATGAAGACCTGAGAAAACTTGAAGATTTTGAGAAACCTAAAAGCTAAAACAGAATATATTATTGTTAATGTAAACCTGAAAGGAAACGGATTAGTACGAGGAACGAAAACGAACGACTGGAAACCATGAAGGTTAACCAACTTGAAGGAACAACCCACCGATGAGACAGAGAGAAACCAACGACGAAACATTCGAATATTGTTCGAAATATTCGAATTGTCAAGTAAAAATAAATAGAAACGGAAAGATAAAATCAGAAAAGAGAAGAGTAATTAAATCCTGAAAAAAAAGAATTAAAATCTGAAAAAATAAAAAAATTATTAAGAACCTAAAGATGAGACATGAACAACCCAACGATGAAATATAAACAACCCAATGATGAGATATAAAGAAACCAACGATGAAACATTCGAATATTATAAGAAATATTCGAATTGTGAAATAAAAATGAATAGAAAGGAATAAATAACATCTGAAAGGAGGAAAAATAATTAAAAGCTGAAAAGGGAAAAAATAATTAAAAGCTGAAATGAGGAAATAAAAATAATTAGTAAATTGTTTAATGGAGTGGATTGAGGGGCGAGGCGGGGGGGGGGCAGTCCCAACCTCACTTCGAATCCCTACCCCTCGCGCACAATGAAAATTTAGATGTTACGCTTCCGAATAAATGAACGACAAATGAATATTACTGCGTCGCGTCGTCTCTTATATAGCCTCCGATCGGCCGAGCTCCCCACTCCAATCGGAAATTATCGAACTTTACCGATTTCATTAATTATTATTTTTCCGCTCTAATAGTCATTAAATTATTAATTTTTTCACTGTTGTTATAAATTCACGTTGCGGGCAATTTGTTATTAACAATTTTAATTTGTTATTAACAGTAGGCGTAATAATTTATAAACATTTTGTAAATTATTAGTACATTTTAACACGAATTCTTTATGAATTTAAGTAATAGCCAATAATTTATTAATTTTTTCACTTTTATTATAAATTTACGTTGGAAACAATTTGTTATTAACGATATTAATTTATTATTGATAATAAGTTTTATCGTTTATACATTTTTTAGAAACTATAACTGCATTTAGTCTTCCACGGCATAAATTTCCATAATACGTATACGTATGTCAAAATATTTTTATTTCTTCTGTATTTTTTACTAAATCGATGTATTACACAAAAAGTAAAAACATTTGAAGATTCATTCTCATCTTAAAAGTTAGCTGGAGTTTATATGGGACACATAGTAGTAGTTGGTTGACAATTCTTCCGTATCCTTTTGAAGGATGCAACTTAATTAAACCAAACCAATTCCGTTTTATGAAATCTGAAGATAATAAATTCGAACAAAATAATATCCTTAGTACATTTATTTATTCCTTTTTACATATGAATTATGTACGCACATGTGCATTTGTGAGACAAGTATCAAACTCTGGCCTCTCAATATTCGAGCTGAATCTTCGATGTAATGAGACAAAAAAATAGATGATGTTTCTATCCAATGCCGCAGATGATAAAATAAGATTATGTCACAATGCGAGATCCGATGTAGCACACCCTGCTGCTAAGTAGCTTCATCGCTTTGTTAATTCCTAAAACAGACAAGAAGCGAATTATAATTTTTCGAATTATGTATACAAAACTATCTAATTTTTCGTTTTTAGATTTAATCAGCCTGTCAAGAGTCTCAACATTTTAATTCTGCCCGTAAAATAAATACGAAACAATTGGTTATTTGAACTCGTAACATATTTGTTATTAAAATGAACCAATAAGTTATAAAAAGATTATAAATTATTACACCTATTGTAAATAACAAATTGCTCGCAATGTAAATTTACAATAAAAGTGAAAAAGTAATAAATTACTAGTTATTACTCGAATTTGTAACGTGTCCATGTTAAAGTGTACATATAATTTACAAAAAGTTTATAAATGATTACACCCATTACGAATTACGAAAAAGTTAAAGTTCGTTGAACAGTGTAATGTGTCTCTGTTCCTGAGGTGTCTGAGAAGATTCCAAGACCATCCTTATTCTCGCGATGCGACGAGATAAATAAATCGAATGAAAAATAGGAATGAAAAATGAATCGGAAGAATGCATCGCGTATTTACACGAATAACAAAGTCGCAAATGAAGCATGTACCGGATAACCGGAAAGGGCTGCAGCGAAGCAAGCGTAAGTACATTGGGGGATGGATTTATCCCGGCAGCCGTAAGCGCGTGATTCCTGCGAAGGTGGAACAAAGGAAACGAAGAGGCGAAATTGGGAGATAGGAAGATCTTTTGTAACCGTTAAAGAACGGTGGAAGAAGAGTGAACCGAATCTAAGAGCGCTTTTAAATCAGCGTAGCCCAACGTATCGCTTGCGGCGTTCACCTGTGGTAATGGCTGCATAAACTCTCGACTCGGGTTCCCGTCGGTCCTTTTTCCATCCCCTCGAGAGTTATTTGGCCGTACACCTTTCTCCCTTTCCGCTCCCTTTCTTTCTACCTTTCCCCATCACCCGTGACGCCTGTAGCTTTGTTCTCTCTACGCGTTCACTTCGCGCCATCCAAAAACCACCGTGCTCCAACAATTTTTATCGAATATTCGTTAATCGTCCCGATTTTTTCGCGAATTTATTTGCGAATTTATTTGCAAATTTATTTGCAAATTTGTTCAACATCCTTTAATGGAACATTTGGTGAATGGGTACTCTTTCGAGTTAAACGTCACTCTCGTCGAGGTGACGCACGGAAGGACGTTGACCGAAGTTTTCGTGGACCTTCGATTTTCCGTGACGACCAAAGTGTACGAAAGTGGTCTACGCCACCGACCACCCCTTGACCGTGCACCTTGCGTGGTCTGTCAAGTGGTCAATGGTGGTTAGTCGTATTTGGTCAATAGTGGTCAGTCATATCGGTCACCGGTGATCGCCATTTCCGAAATCGTTCCTGAAGACTACTCGATAAAACCGCGATGCAAGGATATTAAAAGGGACTTGGAGGGTAAAACGCGATGTTCAAACACAACGAAATTAGGGATGTTGGAAATGAGAAAAGGCGTCGCGAGAGTGTCAAAGAAGAATGAATTTCATGGAAAAAAGACAATACAAGGAACGGCAATGAAAAGAAGCAATGCTAGGGCGTCATAAAAGGGGTTTCGACGATGAAAAATGGGAGAAAAAATTCAGGCAGATTTATAAGAAACCAGACGAAATGTCGAAGACAGTACAAGACGACGGAAAAGGAAGAAATTTGAATAAACAAAGATGGTAAAAAATTTCAATAAGTCCGAAATGCTCGACAAAGCCAGGGAAATTACTAGCCACGCGTAACTCGAAGATTTGCACGCGAAACTTACAAATCGAGCATTCTCGAAGGAGCGTTATCCAATCAGTCTCTCGGTGTGTTACTGATTCCCACCGTCATCGAGGCTCTGCTTGCCGAGAGATTAATTCGAACGGCTATGAGGGACAAAAAAAAGAACTCGTATATATGTACCTGTTAGCAATTAATAAACGCAGGATCGAGAATGGGAGAGACCTCGTTCGGTTCGCGTTATACCTACGGTATAATGGCGAGGAGGTCTGAACGCCTGGTGTCGGAAAGATCCTGCTTGCACGAATTAACCATTATAAGTACCAGCAGAGCGGACCAGGATATCGGATCATTTGTAAAGCAATAACGCCCGATAAATCTCCATCCTTTCATTACTATAAATTCCCGGGCGTTGCGGATTTTTGCTCGTCCCCACTCGACCAGTCGGACGGCCGGCAATAAATGTTATATAGGTATATAAAATTCAGGCTGCATCCGCGCGGCTATGTTGTATATAATCACAATTAGCGTCCTATTAGGCGCCGAATGTGCCTCCTTATTTATGTCGTGCATTAACATACCTACCTCTATGTAAACTTATATCATTTCCATCATCCCCCTTGCGGCCTCGCAACCCCGGCTATATCGCGCGCCGTTCCTCCGCTCGTTCTTCCACTCGTTCTTCCACTCGTTCCACCGAAAACCACGCGGTTCCGCCGACGAATCCAGCCAAGACAACAGGCTCTCCCTGCTCGCTCGCCGATTTACGATTATCCGCGTTTACACCTGACCGATCGTTAAATAACGAATATTCGTGCGGCTGTTCATGAACGGAATTACTCCTGTAAACACTTTATACCGCGAACGAGAGAGATCAGCCGTGCCGCGCGAAACGTACGATTACCGTCCGCGTAACGGCGATTTTTCAGATAACGATATCGGATAACCGCGAGGGTTCTCAACGCGATCCGAAAAGAATTTAATCGGCAATTTTTCGCTTCGGTTCCCGCGCGTCCCGGCTAGATAGGGAATACCCGACGAGCGGGAATCGTTTAATCGTGCGAATCGTTGCGGTTCGTGGCCCTTATAACAACGCGCCACGGAATTCGTCGTCGTGTCGTCGGGAAAGAAACGGCGCTGATGTCTCGTTCGATAGCGAGTCGCCCGGAGAAATCGAATCGAGAAGGAACAATGAAAACCACGACGCGGCTCTCTCATCGTGTGTGATGCCGCACGTAGGAACCCATGAACCATTCCCTGGACCCTGGCGATGGTGAGGCCCCGAGGTCAGGGCCTTGCCCATGGTGTATCGTGAGGACCTCAGCAGGGTGTCCGTGCTTTCCTCTGTATTAATAACATGGCCCGGCCACTGCCAGCTATACATTAAGCAAAATAATCATCATAATCGTGCGTAATACGTCCGGTGAGCCCGCGATTTTCTGTACCGTCATCCGGCTGCAGACGAATAGCACTGCTGCACGAGGTACGAGCCCTCGTCGGCTCTATCGAAACGAATTCTCCTATTTCTCTTTTCACCGTGTCCCGAGAAAGTTCGCGAGAAATCTCTTCTCGGAGATCGAACTTTCCATGCGAGTCACTCGTGCGATTCCGATACTGCAACCGGTGTCTTCCGGTTCCGAGATATAGTTCGCGAACTCTCTCGCGGAAAAGAGCTGGAGGAGCACGACGGAGGATTCGGAAATCTTAACAAAGGAGTTCTGCCGAGGAGAAACATTCGTCACCGTCGACGATGGTACTCGAGATTCGAGCTTTCGCCAGCGATATTTCGGCGAGCGAGGATCCTGCCCCCGTAACCCTGTTAGCCAAAGCGTGGCACGGAAAAGCGCATCGAACCATCCTGGCGAAAACGGGGTCGATCGTGTTCGCAGTTGCTGGTAAACCGGCGAATAGAGAGAGGGTGGACGCTTATAAACAGGGAAAAATTATATTTGCCTTTTAATCTAGCCGCGCATCGTACAGCCGGAGGGCTCGCGTTGTTCGTTAAGGGGCACGTATTGCTAACGGGGTGTATATGCAAATCACGCGCGGAATTAATTTTTCGCATGCTGCGCATACACAGCCGCGTACACACGCACGCGTACGCGCGCGAGCGCGCCGCGACTCGGACGGGCGTAGAGACGCGGATATTGCGAAATGCTAGGGCAAACCGATGGCCGCGACTATGCGTACAATTGATTACAGACGTGATCGTCATACCGCGCTAAATCCGCGACATTCTCCTCGATCTTGGCTGCGGCCTCGACCACGTTCCCCGATTCCTAACCTGGAACAATCGATATTAAACCCCACCCCGTCGTCGGCTTATCTCGCCAACTGTCTAATAAAATTTCTCCACGCTCAAAGGGTGGCCGTAGAATTTCCTATACGAGAGCCGTAATTGATCGGATAATAGAATTAATCTCGAATTAGAGATCGGTTAACGGATCGTGAAATGCCGCGCGGCGCGCTTTACGACCAGTATCCAGCTTAACGTATTCGTCCCGATATCGTTCTTAATTCTCGAGTAGATACGGACGATACGACGCGATATTCAACGATCGGACTACTTAACGTGCTACTAATGGCTCACCGGAGTGGCTTTACGGAGACACACGCTGCTGCTCCGCTCCGCTCGTCGGTGCCGGGGCACGTTTTCAATAATTCATTTTCCGGCGAACGTATCGGTAATAAAGTGAGTTATATCGAGTCGGTGTAAGCTCTCGACAGCACGCGTGACATTCGTTCCCGTGGAATCACGGCCGGTTCCCCGAGAGTCCTCTTTCTTCCCTCCTTTCCGCCGCCATTTCTTCTCCGTTCGTTCCACCGCCGCGCCGCCTCCTCTTTGTCGTCGTGTCGTCGTTCTAGTTGTCGTCGTCTCCTTTCGTCCGTCGGCGGCCTTATGCGATTCGAGGTACCCGTCACGGGGCTTTGTTATGTATTTATGCGCATATTCGCCTATTTGTCGAGAAATTCCCGCGTCGTGTCGGCTCTAGGCTGCTCACGACTCGTTCCATGCACGATCCCTTGAACGTCGACCCCCGAAGAGATGTGTTTACCCGGCGTACACGCGCGTCCTTATACGTTCGTACACGCGAACGCTGTGTCGCGAGCCGGGTACCGCTTCGAGACTGTCTGTCCTCGCGTCTGTTATATTCGCGTGACTCCGCCGTATGGAACCGTCTGCCATAACCCAGAGAGAGAGAGGGAGAGAGACGATTTTTCATAGATTCGCCGAGATTTCTTCCCGAGGATGCCCGGTCTCGATCGGAGGAATATTAAAATCTGCCCGCGCGATCTATGAATAAGCACGATCCCTCTATGGGACTCTATGGGACTCTATGCGACTCTACGTGTTCGCCGTTCGCGCACGTGGAATATCGTGCCACGGATACGGCTTTCTTGCGACGCGTATACACGTCCATTGTCGTGAGCCGAACGCAATAGCGGATCATCGATTATGCGAGGCTTTTATTAATAACCCCGACGCCACGACGCGGGTCTCGATTGCTACGACACTGCGCCGTTCCCCAGCTAGTGGGTACATGGCCCTTTAATTACACGCTCGCGATTAATCTTGGTTTTTATTTCGCTCGCGTCGCGATACAGCCAGGTCCGTGTCTTTCTTTCGTCCGTGGATGCGTTTCCATAAAATTCTCGTACTCGAACGGAGGAAATTTTAGATACGGGTAAATATCCGTTCTGACCTTAAAATCGGCCATCCTGTGAGACGAAGCTGGTATTAACGGCGAGTATCTTCTAGCCCGAATCGAGACTACTGTCCTATTCCGTTCGACGTGGAATCCGCGAGGGAAGAATATTCGGCGGAATACGTGTGTATTTGCCGAGGCAGACGGAAAAGGAAAATTTCGATAACGTTTCCGGCGTGCAATTTTGTCGGGACAAACAAGAGAGTCGCGAACATCCGTGTGTGAAGAAGCGTATTATAGGAAATAAGCATGTCGCATGGCGATACAGCTCGTCCGAGAGTGGGTACGCGAAAGACGACGAGCCCCGCGTTGTTCTATGTGCTTTTCATTTGCATTCTTTATCGTCGATAAATTATCCGTCGTCAAACGTGCTCGTTGCCTCTGTCTGATAAAGTATTCACCGTAAAATCAACCTCGCGGAACCGCGACGGAACGAGCGTACGCGAGATCGCTGGAAGCTTGAGTCGATAAAAGTCATTCGTATGCATTTTCGAATACGACGAAACGCGAAATAAAATAGTCGAATAACGTTCGCATTACGATCTCGCGGTAACCACCCCACCGGCCACCTCGTGGCGCGCGTATTTTTTCCAAAATTCGTTTACGCGGAGCGAAAGGTAAACTCCTGGAAGCTGTTCTCGACGGAACGATACGCGGTAGGTCGGTGGAAATAAATTCGAAATAAATCATCGAGATAGCAATGGACCTCGAGCGAGAAACATATTTTCCTCGGAGTACGACGGTGTTTTGCTTCGTTAAGGATCGATAGAGGGAAAGGAGCGAGGGATGGCTGGCGGTGGAAGGTGGTAAAAATACGCAGAAAATTGATGCTTTTTCCAGCGCGGAGAGCGCGCGGTCCGCGTCATCTTGTAAACACTTCTTCTGCCTTTCGGTCGTTGTAAATAACGAGCAGGCGGTGCTCTCGGGCCCGGAAAAATCTCTCATTCCGGTTTCCTCGCCGCGGCGGGGCGCTACGCCGCCGCTGCGAGGTCGTTCTCCAGATTTATTGATTACAAATTGCACGGCGATCAATCGCTTAATGGTACCGGCGCTCTCTCGCTCTCGCCAGATGTATTTATGAATCGATACAAAATATTGCCTTATTAAATCACCTATCGCCCCCACCGTGCTCGTGGCCGAGGAACGTTCGTACGTAACGCGTCGTGTTTGCCCGCGATTAATGCGCTTTCGAACGCGATCCTGACGGCTATTATTTTCTTCGTAACGCGATATAATCGATCCGCGGCGTACGGTACCGTTTCGCGCGGAGGAACGCTCGATCCTGATCGAAAGGGAGCGGACGTCGAATTTGCATTTAACTCGACGACCGTCGACGACGTGCATTTTTTTTCCCACCGTAAATTGAAATTCCGCCCGCTTTCCCGCAACGTTCGTCGCGAATTTGTGAACGGTTAACCGTGTGCGGTCGGTGAAACGAG